ATTATGTTTTATATTTCTATAGTTCAATATAACTTTTATACTCCTCTTTCCTGTTGTGTGTTTAGCTCAGACTTTTCCCCATGTCAGTCCTCTCATTCAATAAAAAGAACAATGTTTCGAGAAGTAAACCACATTTTAAACACATATATTTTTTCCCAAAATACATCGTGCTTTCCTTTTCCATTTTTTTTTTTTAATTTTAGTGTTTGCTGTAAGGCAAGTGTGCTTGCCAGAGACAGAGAGGAACAAAAAGAGAGAGGGAGTAGAAAAGTGAGAAATCACCCCTCTGAAGGGATGGCCATGCTGCAATCCATTCTTCCTCCAGTCTGCTCTTGGGATCTGGGGCATTCATGCACACGTGCTCAGTTTATGCTGCTGGGTCTGGGATTGGAACCATGAAGTCTGCCATGTGGGATCCAGAGTCTCAACCTCCATGACACCTGCTGGCCCTCCTCCTCCATATTTCTTGACTTTTAAATTTTTTTGGAGAGGTTTTTGCTATAGGGCACGTGCGCTTGCCAAACAAACAGAGAGAGACAGAGAGATAGAAAGCCAGAAATCACCCCTCAGGGGGGATGGCCACTCTGCAATCCCTTCTCCTCCATTCTCCTCTCGGGATCTTGGGCACGCATGCACACATGCCCGGTGAGAGTTTTAAGCCACTGGGTCTGGTACGCGAACCATGGTCGACTACATGGGAGTCCAGCGACATAGCCATTACGCTAACTGCTGGTCCCTCCTCCATTTTTCTTAAAGGATAAGATAGGAGATATTTTTCCTTGTGCTGAAGTTATACATTTAGGGATAATACTTTTGGTACTTAAACTCCAAAGACTCCAGACTTTAAAGAAGTCTATGTAAGACTTAAATGTGTAAGATCTTAAGTTTATGACTGACAGTGATAGAAAGGCTGTGGGCTAGGCACTCTGCATGGCTTTCTGCCATATCACATTTGGTGCTCACAAAATCCTGTAAAGTGAGTGTTATTCCTATTTTTGCAGGAACTGAGGTTTAGGTAAATTAAATGACTGGCCCAAGTTACATTGCTAGTAAGTGGAAGATCTTGGATTTCAGCCCACCTCTATTTGTCGCCTTAAGATTCTATCACATTATCACATCTGTTCCCTCTCACTGTGATAGTTTAGATCCTTAGGACCTCTAAAATTCATCTACACATCTCTATTTCTGTAGCTATATCTATAAGAGAAGTCTTCAGAAAGTTCATGGAAAGTACCTATTATGAGAAAACTATGCATGGATTTCAAAATAAGTTTTGGCATCAAGGTAAACTTGTACTTTGACACCATCATCTGATTAAGATTTTACTCTCTTAATTTCATTACAACCAGATCTCAACACATACTTTTTTGGAGGATACCCAAACTAGTACTATATATATATATATATATATACATATATATATATTTCAGACAGTTAATATACCATAAACTGTACACATTTAAGTGTATGGTTCAAAGATACTGAATTTCACCTGTGAAACTCTCACCACAGTCAAGGAAATCGACACATTTATCAACCTTGAATGTTTCTTTGTGGGGATCAGTAGTTGGCATAATGGCTATGTCACTGGATTCCCTTGTAGTTGACTGTGGTTCGAGTCCCGGACCCGATGGCTTAAACTCATGCCAGGCATGTGTACGTGCGTGCCCAAGATCCCAAGAGGAGAATGGAGGAGAAGGGATTGTAGCGTGGCCATCCCCTGGGGGGTGATTTCTCGCTTTCTATCTCTCTGTCTCTCTCTGTCTTTCTGGAGAGCACACACACCTTATAGCAAAAACATCTCCAAAAAAAAAAAAAAAAGAAAGAAAGAAAGAAAAAGTTTATATTCGTCTCCATCTGTAAAATCAGTTTATTGCACAGGACTTTTAAAAAGAATTACTTAATCTAATTCTATTGCATAGGACTTTTAAAAAGAATTGTTTAATCTAATTTTATTTATTATTATGATTATTATTTTAATTTGCTACAGAGCATGTATACTTTCAAATAATGAATGCACCTTTATAACTGTGCACAAATCAAAAAACGGAGTCTACAAGTTCTACCTTGGGATTCTGTTGCCTTTTAATGCAGTAGCTCAGGTCTACTAAAGGCTGCCTAACTATGCTGTTGAATTAAATTGTTTGAATTCAGATCCAGGTTTCATTTACTCTGAGGCAAACAGGCAAACTACTTAGCTTCTTTACCATGGTTGTACTGTGTGTGAATGGACATAATAGTATTATTTACCTTGTAGGGTTGTTATGAGTATTAAATGAGATCATTTTTGTGATTAGAGCAAACTGTTAATTCAGAACCTAGGAACATAAGTGTGCAGCTTTTTAAAAGCTGTATATTTATGTGAATTTTCTTATTAATTCTTTTTTTTTTTTGGACCAGCAGATAGTGTAATGGTTATGTTGTTGGACTCCCATGTAGTTGACTGCAGTTCAGTCTCAGACCTGGCAGCTTAAAACTCATGCCAGAAGCATGTGTGTGCATGCCCAAAATCCTGCGAGGAGAATGGAGGAGAAGGGATTGAGGTGTAACCATCCACCCTGGAGGGTGATATCTCACTTTCTGCCTCTCTGTCTCTCTAGGGACCACATGTTCCCTATAGCAAAGATCTCTCTCTTAAAAAAATTCTTTTTTCAAAGCTATTTATTTTTTTTCCATGAGAGACGAGAGAGAGAGAGAGAGAGAGAGACTCTTAAAAGAGTTTTCACACTGTGATCAGCCAGCCAGGACCCTGTGTATGTGTGTATGTGTCCCATAGGTACGAAGAGACCTTGGGATTTGAACCCAGAACTTCCCTATGTGGCTTCAGCATCATGGAGCAATGCATTACTGCTGCTCCACTGCAGCTGGCCTTCATTAATTCATATTGCTAGAGAAGGAAGACTTCTGGGGCTCAAGGCTCATCCTCTTTTCTTTCTTTTGATCTCAAGCCAGATGAGAGGAGGCTATGTCAATATACTGAGAGACTCAGGTATGCTAGGTACACAATAAATATTTACTGGGTCATCTTGGTGTAAAAACTGGGTCTTTATGAAGAGAAATCGAAAACTTGCTTATTAAATTATGGCTCATAATTTTGGCAAAGGGCCACCTATTACCCAGAAGGAACAAGTGATCTTGAGCAAATGTGTTTGGATTTCTAGGAATGCAATTCTGACCAGCCTACCAAGTATTTGACCACCGGGTCTTCCAAGAATCTTATTTTATTTTATTTTATTTTTTTTGGTTCGATGTAAAAGTGGAGACAAAGCTATTAAACTATCTAGAATTTTAAAAGAGTAAAAAACAAATCAATGCTGAGTGCTGCTAGCATTTTCATTCTTGATCTAAGTGCTGGTAATGTGTGGTTTCATTTGTAAAAATTCAAGTGTTGCACTTGGTTTTTTAAAGGTATAGTATAATTTACATGTATTATAATGCACAAATCTAAAGTTTATTGCTCAGTACACTTTTTGCCTTTATTTGCAACCAAGAAAACATTACCTAGATCAAGCGTTTCATTCAGCATTATATTTTTGAGATTCATCCGTTTTGTTATGTGTAGTCATATTTCATTTGTTTTCATTGCATGCTGATATACCATTGTGTGAACAGACTAATATACCATTGTCTGAATATACTGTGGTTTTGTTATCCATTTCACTTGGATGGACATTCTGATTGCTTCCAGGTTTTAGCTATTATCTATATAGCTTATGTGAACATTTATGTTCAAATTGTTTTGTGTTCATATGGTATATTTGTGTGTATGGGTGAATACTTAGGAATGGGATCCTGAGTTACAAGGTAAAATGCTGAGTTATAAGATATGTTTGTCTTTATAAGTAATGACCAGTTTTAGAGAATGGTTGGACCATTTTTCATCAAGGCTGTTAAGATTTCCATTTGTTCCATACCTTGGCTGACACTTGGCATTTTCAGTCTTTTTAAAGGCTGTGTATTTCTGCACAATTCTCCACGTTCTATGAGTACATTATACTTCAATAAAACATTTAGAGATGAATGAATAATAAAAATAATAGTGAGGACTGGATAGTGGTACTGTGGTAATAATACATAATGCTCTGGGAGGCTGATTCACATGGAGGATTTTGCGTTTGCATCTGGAAACCTCCACAAGTATGCCAGGCATGTGTGTATCTATGACCAGGACTGGATGAGGTATTAGGAAGTCCATGACAATATTAGGATTGATCACATCTCCCTGTTCGAGGTGTTGGCTTTCTCTCTCTCTTTCTCATGGAGGAGATAAGTAAATAAATAAACTTCAAAAAATGATAGTGGTTGTGGGCTGGCCCTGTTGCACAGTGTTTAAAAAAGCTGGATCCCACATGACCAAGCATGTTTTGAAGATTGGCTCTAGGGACTAGAAAAATGCACTGGAAGTGTGTATAGATGTCCAACATTTCGACAGGAAGGAGAAATAGAAAAGGACTGTGGTATGACCATGCCCCATGAGTGGGTGTCTCTCTTTCTGGCAATAACAATAAAGAAGTTATAGTGGTTATGGGACCAGTAGATGGCGGAATGGTTACATCACTGGACTCCCATGTAGTCAACCGTGGTTCAAGTTCCAGATCCGGCAGTTTAAAACTCACACTGGATGTGTGTGCATGTATGCCCAAAATCCCAAGAGGAGACTGGAGAAGGGGTTGTGGTGTGGCCATCCTATAGTGGTTGTATCTAATGTCAAAATGGAACAATTAAATAAATCATCAAGATGTTTTTGTTGACTTCTGCTAAATAACCAATAACCAAATATTGCCCTATTTAATTGATGAGTTTATTTACCATTGTGTAGAAATATTAAATGGTTAAACCTTAGGGTTGGTTGAAGTATTATTTCTGAGGGAAAAAAAAGTCTCTCTTTAAAGGTCCTTAAGAAGTCTTTCAATTGCATATCCCCTTCAATTGTAATAGGTGGACTTACAATTCAGAATATTTTGCCTGGAGCTCATTACTTTTCTTCTTTTCTATTTCAGAACACAAATGCCCTGTGGATGAGCGAGAGCAATTGGAAGAAACCTTGCCACTGATTTTAGGGCTCATCTTGGGCCTTGTCATTGTGGTAACACTTGCTATTTACCATGTTCACCACAAAATGACTGCCAACCAGGTGCAGATCCCCAGGGACCGATCCCAGTATAAACACATGGGCTAGGCACTATCAGGCAGACGGCCCCCAGTCCTGTCTTCCAAATGGATCAGGTAGAAAAACAAAAGCACTTTCCACCTTGTACACAGGATACACCAACATAGCTACAAGCAAACAGGCCTGGTATCCGAGGCTTGCTTGGCCTGTGTCCATGCTTAAAGCCAGGGATTGGGGGGGGATTTTTTTTGATTCTTGGGGTGAATTGCAGAAATTACAGATGTCCTCTCCATGTGGTGGAGTGCAGAGGGAGGGGCTCAGCCAGCTTTCATGCTCATGATGGCTTGATTTTGACTCTCCAAGGAACAACAATCACTATTTGGAGTGGTATCTTGTTCCAAGAAAATTGAGAACACACTGCTTCTGAGAGGACACTCCCTTGGGTTCAGAGGCATAGTGTGTGCTTGGTTCCCTTGGACACAGCTGGCTTGCTTTATACAGTTGTCAATGCATACAAAATGTAACCTCATGCTCCCTGCAGCAAGACCCCTGAAAGTGATCCATGCTTCTGGCTGGCATTCTGCATGTCTAGTGATTGTCTTGGGAATGTTTCACTGCTACCCGCACCCAGTGACTGCACAGCACAAGAACCCGTTTAATGTAACTATGCAGAGTTGTTTGGACTTCCTAATATGTCAGGTTCAAGTAAAGAGACCTGAAGAATCAATCCTTGTGAATTTGTTTTTCAAAATGAATTAAAATACACTACTCTCTGGTCTTTGGCTACTTTCTTGAAACAGATTTTTTTTTTACCATGCAGGGGAGATAGGAGGGAGGATAAAGATAGACTCAACCCCCCCCCAATTTTGGTGAAAGGAAAAGCAAATAAAGAACATAGACAGAATAGGGGAAAGTTGGCTTTTCCAGGTAAAAAAAAGCATGGATTTAACTTGGCAAATAAAAGTAGTTTTAATGATGCTACCTCCTGAATGATTGGTCTCATGTTGTCTCTAATGCTTCTTGGTCTTGAACTTGGCATTTCATGTTGAATTGAAATGCTAGACTGAACATGGTAGTCTAGGTTGAGTTTTATTTGAAGTAAATTGTGATTTATTGAAATTTCTTAGACAAATGAACATAGTTGGAATGTTACCTTTTCAGAGGAACTAAATGGGGTTAGGGGAGACTCCTTTCTCTGGTTTTAAGTGGGAATCTCCTTCACATCCCCATACAGCCTCCAAGTCTCCCTATTTTTAATCTGCTCACAGCAGGTTTCTGAGAGTTTACTCTCTTGGCAAATCTTACTATCAGACAGTTGCTGTTCTAGTACCCATTTGTTGCCTTCTCTGTCAATCTCTATCTTCTCTAATCTGCCTTCAATATTTTCTTGGTACCAGTGAGAAAGAATTCCCAACTCCTCATAAAAGTTGCACATTGCACAAGGAAAAGAGACACCATTGGTGCCAGCAGAAATCCCCTGGGATAGCTGAAATTTTTCTTCTATTTGTCTGTGATCTTATCACCTTTATGCTCCAAACTTAAGACCTCCCCTGTTTTAGTATCTTATGTATTTCTTTTTTTGTTCCATATTCTTGGCCAGCGGCAGTAGATTAGTGGTAATGCAGTGTGCTGTGAGACTGAAGCCACGTGGGAAGGTCTTGGGTTTGCACCCTGAGGTCTCCCTGTACATGCCAGGTGCATGAGCATATGCCCATAATCCTGTATCCTGAAGCTGGGGGTAGACTGCAGTGTGTAGACACAGTTATGGGTGCCTCTCTCTTTCTCTGATGGAAGAAATAAATAAAACATTTTTTATTTTTAAAATATTTGTCAGGGCATGTTGGAGAGAGACAGAGACAGAAAGAGAAAAGGAGAATGAGAAATCAGCGCTCCCGGGGGGAGATGACACACCTCAGTCCCTTCTCCTCCATTCCATTCTTGTGTTTTTTTGGCACACACACACAGGTGCTGGTGTGATTTTCATGATGCTAGGTTTGGGAATGGAACCATGCAGTGGACTATGTAGGATCAGCCCCTTAACCAGCATGCCACCTGTGCCCCCCCTCCAAAAAAAAAAAAAGAAAGAAAAACTCCTCATATGCTTTATTTGGAACTAGATTCTGGGAGAAGCAAACAGATGGATCTAGGACTTCAAAGTGAATTACTATTCCTGTTTGTCATTCTTTCAGGAAAAAAAATTAGAACTTTTGGAATCGTACTTGACAATTTCCTTATGTTTTTAAAATTTGCTTTCACAAAACATAGTACTTCTCATCAGTTTTAGAATTGTCATTCATGTTTTCAACAAACACTGAATTTGAATATTTACTGTTGTTTTAAGCACCTATGGAGTACAGGTTCAGTTCTTAGTATACAGTAATATAGTAGTAAACTAGACAATGTGGAGTTTATAGGGGGAGAACTGACAAGAACAGAGACAGCACATGTTAAATATGTCATTCTAAAATGGACTGCCCTGGCTCTTTTCAAGTTTAACATAGCCACACCCCTGTGTTTGTTTAAACTAATTCAGTCTTCCTGAAATCCCCCCCCCACCCCATAGGGGGGGAAAAAAGCCTATGCCATCTGCTGGTCCCTAGAATCCAAACTATTTTTTCTCTGTTTTTATCTTTTTTTTCTTATATTTTTACATTCAATCTTTGTATAATTTTGTAACATTGAAATGGGAAAATTCCAATTTTTCTTTTAGAGAGATTTTTGCTATAGGGCATGTGTACTTGACAGAAAAAGACAGAGAGACAGAAAGCGAGAAATCACCCCCCAGGGGGGATGGTCACGCCGCAATCCCTTCTCCTCCATTCTCCTCTCGGGATCTTGGGCACGCACGCACACGCGCCCGGCGTGAGTTTTAAACTGCCAGGACTAGGACTTGACCAGTGGTTGGCTACATGGGAGTCCAGTGACATAACCATTACGCTATCTGCTGGTCCATCAAGTTTTTAATTCTCCAAATTCAGAGTGATTTTCCCACCTGTATCATGCAGTATGAATAAAAAGCCATTATTGGAACTAGCAGTTGGCGTAATGGCTATGCTGCTGGACTCCCATGTAATCGGTTTGAGTCCTGGACCTGGTGGCTTAAACTCATGCTGGGCACATGTGTGTGCGTGCCAAAGATCCCAAGAGGAGAATGGAGGAAAAGGGATTGCGGTGTGGTCATTCCACCTGGAGGGGGTGATTTCTCGCTTTCTGTCTCTCTGTCTCTGTCTGTCTTTCTGGCAAGCACATGTGCCCTATAACAAAAAACCTCTCCAAAAAAAAAAAAAAAGCCATTATTGCTGTTTACTTTTACTATCATTATCATGATTACTTATCATCATCATTAACTGTGCTAAAATTAGGTCTCCAACTCAGCCTCATTTCCTTTGGACCTAGCCTTATTTCTCTCAGCCACAACTTTATCCTCACTGGGAACTGAACAAGATAAGGGGGAGGGTCTCAGGGCACACCAGAACAGCGGTGTCTGGGCCATGCATGCCCAGCATTCTCCTGGCTCAAGGAGTCCAGGTGAACTGACTCAACCCTGGCCTCAGCTCTGAGCTCCTGCCCTTTGCCGCTGTCCTACATTCTGCGGCTGCTCCTGGACCACAGAGAGCTGAAGCAATGGCTCAACTACCAGAGTTGTTTCCTAAGTGCAAGGACAGGAAAGAAAACAAACAGATCAACTACAGATGCTCAATTACCCCTTTAACTGTCATTTTTCTTTTTTACTGGGATTTTAAACACAAATGCCTCTGGGCATAAAAGGATGTTGGGTCTGGTTGCTGGGCTGACTGCCTGGATGAACCATATGCAGGCTTTTTGGGAGGAGGGTAATTTTAATTTAAATTCTGGGCATGTTAGTAGCAAGATTTCTCCACTCCTGGGAAATAACTCCCAGTGAAACTGCCTCACAGGGCAGAGACCTCACTTCTCACTTGGAGCCTGGGAAAGCCCTCCAAACAAGATAACCATTCTTTTTTTTTTTCAATCAGTTGTCCAGTTTTCCATGAGCAGATACTTGGCAAAGCTGCATAGGTGTGAGAGGCACCAGAGAAAGGTGAACAGAGGAATGGGAAGAAAGATGGCAGGAGCAGCATGTTACGTGTGGGAACATTTTACCCTGCAGGTCGCCCAGACTGGCACTAGGCACCAGCACCTTCCTGGAACAAACATTGAATGCCCTCAGTCAGACAGACACAGCTTTAAACAGGGATGGCTCAAAGTACAGTCCAAAGGCAGAATGCATAGAATCATTGAGAGCTGTTGAAAAATGTTCTGGCCAGCCAGTGGCATGGTGGTTAAAGTGATCAGATCCCACAGAGCTGACAGCACAGTTCGAGTCCTGGACGAGCAGCCTGGGAAGCAGATAGGGTGCACATGCATGTGTACTCAAAATCCCAGTAGGAAGGAGAGATGGAGGAGAAGGGACCACAGCATGACCACCCTTCGCTGGAGGATGATTTCTCTTTTTTCTCTTTTCCTCCTTTCCCCTCTGGCGAGTACATACATCCTCTGGTAAATCAATAAATGAAATAAAAACAGGTAAAAAAAGAAAAAAAGAAAAATGTTAGTTTTTGGGCATCTTCACAGACTTACTGTTTGAGAATCTCTAAAGTGAGACATTAACATCCTTCCCTGGATGCAGAAATATGAATACTTTTGGTTAATAAAGCCCTTACTATCAGCCTATGTGCAACATTATCCAAATTATGGGCTTCTCTGTGCTCATGTTGTCACCTGACAATGGGCTCCCTCTCCCATCCTTGTAAAAGCTGTTGGAAGATCCACTGAAGTACATGTAAGTGCTCAGCATGATGTGTGGCAAACTGGGAACTGCTCCGTAAACGGCATCCTAAGGACATACTGCTAGCACAGTTCTTAATAAGAATATTTCAATTTTGCCAGACAAGCAAGGACTTCATGACAGATCCAAAAGGACCAATATGAGGATTTTGGTGTCCACAGTTTTCCATATATCAGATTATATACAATTAAGAGCATGTTTCTAAGCAGGGGTTCTCCCCACCCCAGTCCAGCTAACCACTCAAAGTTAACTGTTGTACTCCATGAACTTGGATAACAAAAAGTTGTGCCTTTAGCTTTTTAATTTTGTTTTTTTAAAGTTTTATATCCCTCTGATTTCTCTGAGAGACTAGGAGGTATCCCTTGATGGGGGTTCCATGCCATTATTCACCGCTGGTCTCAGCCTGTTCAGATCACAGACACACACCCTGTGTGCCCAGGGAGACCCCGTGAACCTGGGATCCTCCATGTGAGCCCAGTCTTGCCACTCCAATGCCACTGCCTGGCACTTGTGACTAACCTCCAATGAAAGGTAGTCTTGCTTTCAGTTAGGAACACAGGCACCAAGTCATTCTGGTAGAAGCAGGACCTGGAAATTTTTCATTAATAGGAATGACCACATTACCACTTGCTGGTGATATTTAAAAAAATCATTTATACTTGAGTTCAGTAGGTGGCATGGTTACTAAGGTGCTGGAATCCCACGTGGCTGACCATGGTTGGAGTCCTGGATCTGGTGGCTTTAAAATCACTCTAGGTGTACATGTATGTGTCCAAAGTCCTGAGAGAAGAATGGAGGAAAAGGGATTACAATATGGCCATCTCTCCTGGGGAGTAATTTCTCACTTTCACTCTCTTATGAGCACACATGCCCTATAGCAAAAACCTAGAAAACAATCATTTATACTCCTTACTCTTTATACTCCTTACCTGAAATTATGCCATTATCAGACCAAATCATAAGATCTTATTTAATGCCTTATAAACACA